GAGGGCTGGGGTGGGCAGATGTGGTAGGAGCGGCAAAGTAGGAGAAATGCTCAGTAGGCCTCGGTGTCAGAGCCAGGAACACAGAGCGGGGACACCACCAGTTCTGGGCTTGAGGGGCCCCATGCTCCTTGGGAGTAAACCTTAATTTCCGAGAAGAATGAAGAAAGGAGACCATCCGCTCACCTTCCTGAGCATCTGTTCCTTGTCGATGCTGGTTTTCAAGTCCTTTTTGATGGCTGGACACACAGACGTCTGCGTCTGGGCACGGTGCTTCTCATATGTTTTCAGGAACTTTTGAAGAGTTGGAACGACAGGCAGGGGCGCTCTTTTACTTTTCTCTTTTCCTGTCTTCTGTCTTGGCATTGTTTTATAAGTGTTGGATTCCACTTGGTTGTGAAAACAGTAACTCGCTCTGAAACCCAATGCACAGGTATCTAATTTTTAAGGAGCAGCTTGCATCCTCTCCCCTAACTTGGAAAATATTGCTGCGCACCCTTCTCTGAAAAAGTTAAAGCGCTTCATTTATCTTAAAATGGGACTAGGGAATTAATAGAGACAGTCAAGTGGAATTTTTCAATTTCCAATTTCTATATTCATGGATCCATGTTCTTTCTTTTCGATTCTTCAAAATGAGGGCAGAACTCATGGAACTCAGTTACAAAGGAACATAATATTACTAGCGGGTACTAAATGTTACAGAGGACATATTCATTTAAAAATGGCATAAGCCCAGCTGGCATGGCTCAGTGGTTGAGCATTGACCTACGATCCAGGATATTTCAGTTTGATTCCAGGTCAGGGCACATGCCTGGGTTTCGGGCTTGATCCCCAGCAGGGGGTGTGCAGGAGGTGGCCCATCAATGACTCTCATCAGTGATGCTTCTATCTCTCTCTCCTTCTCCCTTCCTCTTTCTGAAATCAATAAAAATATATTTAAAAATAAATAAATAAAAGTAGTATAATTCTCTTTATAGACAACTCTTGCCAGGCAGTTTATCACAGTGGTTAAGCACATGGGCTTTGGAGGGGAGCAGACCTGAATTTTAGTCAAATCTCCACCACTTGACTCACTGGGTGGCCTTAGATAAGTTATGAAGCCTCTTTGAGCCTCTATTTCACCATCTGTAAAATGGAATTTGGTTGTCACAGGATTAAGTGAGATAAGTTTATAAAGCACTTAGCACAATGCCTGGCTTGTAGTGGGAGTGCTCAATAAACTTTAATGCTATAATTGATGCTGTTATCATTGAGCTGGCCACAGGAAGTGACCCAATCAGTACTGATTTTGCCCTTTAAATTACCCAGTCCCGGAGGGTCCCTCTATGTGATAACTTAAGGTAATGGTTGGGTCTCTGAACTGGGTTCACAGAGACAAAAGTTTACAGGAATTACTAGAGTTTCACCACATGGGAAGTTTGCAGCTACAGATTATTCAGAAATGTATTTATTATCTTACATCAAAAGGAACTTTCCTTGTTAAATCTGGGCCTGGTGAACCATCCCAAAGAAACTGGAAGGAGACAGGGGCTGTTAAGAAAAGCTATGTTTTAGATGCCTACAAATTTAGAACTGATCAATTTTCTTGGGGGAATCTACCCGTTTGTCATTCTCTAACATTCCTCTTTGTCTCTAGAAATGCTTTGTGTCTTAGAGACACAGTTCCCAAACTTAGTGTACTTAGGTGCTTGGAGGCGCTGCAAACTTAAAGGGTACTTTGGGATATTTGAAATTTTCTTTTTTAAAATTGAATTTACTGGGCTGACATTGGTTAATAAAATCATATAGGTTTCAGGTATGCAATCCTATAATGAATCATCTGTGTATTGTACTGTGTGCTCACCACCCCACATCAAGTCTCCTTCCATCACCAAAGATATGTGAGATTTTCAAGGGAAAGTAGCAACATCTGTTAGAGGCCATGTGAGCTACATGGGGGTAGTTCACAGTTTCAAACTGGATCACACTTGTATTTGTACCCTATTGCTGCATAACAAATTACCCCATTGTAAGTGAAAAACAATTTAGAAGAGAGAATGAACCCAGCAGAATGTAGACACTCAGGTACTGGGACAAGGGAAAAATCACAAAATTATGGATGGGACTTCACAGGTTGTCTAGTCCAGGGAAGCCATCACTAGGATAACCCACCGTCCCAGGACTGCGAGTGCTAAAATAAGAAAGTATTAGGCAGACCAGGGTGGTTATTTACCTACCACTCCCCCGACCCATGGCCATCACCCCCTGTAGCCTCGGAATCCTGCTCACTGCTTTGCTCCAGGAAGCTGCTGCAGACCAACCAAATTTGGCAGCTACCGAAAACCTACTTGCCATCTCAGACCTTGTCTAACTTCTTGTTTTACACACAACAAAAATGAGCCCCAGGAAGGAAAGGGAGGGACTTACTCTGGATGAGAACAGAACTGGACGTGCTGACTCCCGTGTCTGTTTTCGATAAGCATCCCAGGAGATGCTTATCAGAAGGCAATTGGCAAACACAGGCAAGGCCTCATGGGAGACTGTGCAGGTGGGGAGGGGTGGCCAGGACTTGGGTCAAGAGGAACCTGTTTGAATCCTGGCTGGGTCTGGCGAGTATTTGTAGGGCGGGTATGGGTAATCAAACTCACTTCCCCAAACCATTTTCTTCATCTGTAAAAAGGGTGGGACTATTATACCTCTTTGGCATTTGTGAGGATTAATGAGATAACATATATAAAGCTTTTTCATCAGTAACATGGGGATGATGATGGTAAAAAATCATTATGAGGGCCCAGCCGGCGTGGCTCAGTGGTTGACCCATGAACCAAGAGGTCATCGGTTTGATTCCTGGTCAGGGCACGTGCCCAGGTTTCGGGCTTGATCCCCAGTAAGGGGCAGGCTGGAGGCAGCCAAATGATGTTTCTCATTGATGTTTCTCTCTCTCTCTCAAAATGAATAAAAACATTTAAAAAAAAATATGTCTTTATTGATTTCAGAGAGAAGAAGGGAGAGGGAGAGACAGGTAGAAACATCAATGATGAGTCATTGATTGGCTGCCTTGTGCATGTTCTCCACCAGGGGTCGAGCCCACAGCCCAGGCCTGTGTCCTGACCGGGAATCGAACCACGATCTCCTGGATCATAGATCGATGCTCAACCTCTGAGCCATCCCGGCTGGGCGAAACATTTTGTTTTTTAAAAAAAGAATCATTGTGAGGAATAATGAGTTAGTTAGTATGACAGTTGCTCAAAACAGAGCCTGGTGCATAGTAAATAATGAATACTGGGGTGGGAAACCTGAGGCACAGCAAGGTTAAACCATTTGCCTAATGAGGGCAGACACTGGTAGGTGGTGCAGCTGGGATCCAAATTCAGGCATTCTGGCTCCAGAACCCAGATTCTTAACCATTCTGAGGTACCACCTATAAGGTACAGTTTTGGACTGAATGTCTGCATCCACCCAAATTCATATGTTGAAGCCCTAAAACCCATTGTGAGGGTATTTGGAGATGGGGCCTGGGGGAGGGGGGTGTTAGCCTTGGGTGAGGTCATGAGGGTGGGGCCCTCACATTAGGATTAATGCTCTTATAAGAAGAGACACCAGAGAGCCTATTCTTCCCTCTCCCCCCCCCTTACTCCTCTTGTCACCCTCACCTCCCCACCGCCCCCCATCTTCCCTCCCCAAGCTGTTGAGATGATCACCACCTATAAGCCAAGAGAAAAGGCTTCAGAATGAAACCCACCTTACTGGTATCTTGAACTTGGATTTCCAGCCTCCAGACCTTCAAGAAATATATTTCTGTTGTTTAGGCCACCCAGTCTATGGTATTTTGTTATGGGGGCCGAAGCTGGCTAAGACACGTACTGTATACAATATTATTGTTCACAATATAAAATATTTCTCACTAGCCTTTTCTGGGTATTTACAGAAGCACGAAGTATACACACATGCTTTCTATAAATACTCTTTTAAGACCCTCTTAAATCTGGAGTTTTTCACTTAATATTTTATCAGGAGCATTTCTTTTTTCCTTTAAAAAAACACACACAACTATGTTTTTATTGATTTCAGAGTGTGGAAGAGAGAGAGAGAGAGAGAGAGAGAGAGAGAGAGAGAAACATCAGTGATGAGAGAAGATCATTGATCACCTGCCTCCTGCACACCCCCTGCTAGGGATGGAGCCCAAGACCCGGGCATGTGCCTTGACCAGGAATTGAACCTGGATCTCCTGGATCCTAGACGGATGCTCAACCCCTGAGTCATGCTGTTGGGGCTCAGGGGCATTTCTTCATATCCTCTCCCTAAACCCTAATGTGTGGCCCAGCTTAGCAACTACCTGGGTGCTGGAGGCCAGCACTGATTGGCAGATTCATTAATGAATATCTGTGGGTCTTTGGGAGTGGGCCCCAGCCTACCTATGCTAGGTTTTCTCTCTTCTGTGACTCACCTGGAGATGGCACAGTGGGGGGGACGAG